GAGAGAGAGAGAGAGAGAGAGAGAGAGAGAGAGAGAGAGAGAGAGAGAGAGAGAAACCGTGACTGGGATGGCTGTCCCTCTCTCCACACTGGATGCTCATGCTCTTTGAGGACAAGGCCAGCATTCTACGTGTCATTGGAAACTCCTTTAAGAGTCAGCTGAGTGAACAAGGGGGTCAAACTGTGTGAGTGAATGAAGACAGGTGACTCTGTGTGGTCATTCCTCCTGCCTAAGGGACACCTGAACGTTCTGTAAGGCACAGAGGCAGTGTCACCTCCTCCATGAAGTCTCTCCTGATTTCCCCCTGGCTGACAGAAGCCAAATTATTCTAGACTTGAGACGTTAGGGAATTTCTCCTAACCAGGGACTCCGGCAGTTCTTCTCCCACTTAGGAACCATCCAATGGTAGGCCTCATGCGAATCACGCCATAGTGGCTGAAAGGATCCCGTTGGAACTGAGGTTAGGACATACCTGGGTGAGCTCAAGTCCAATTCTCTTCCTGCCACATTACCTTCTGAGGCTGGTGGGCCCCACCTTCCACGGGGTTTGTGAGAATTCCATGAGGCTACAGATCCCGAGGCATGAACCCGTGTGTGGCCATGCCATTCTCAGCAGCACTACATCCCAGAATTTGTTGACAAAGACCCTTTTCTCCCAGGTTCCAGTTTCCACACAAGGCAGTGGAATGAATGAATGAATGAATGAATGAGCAAGTCCTCACATCCCCAGAACTTAGCACAGGGCTAGCTACATACACCTCCAATGAGCATGCGCTGAGTGTATCGGGTTCAAACAACAACAACAACAACCAGAAGACCCACACTAGCAATCACTGGGGACAAGCATCTGAGGGCTGGAGCAGGCCACCTGGGGGCCTTTGTCACCCCAGATGCCGTTTTTTGTGTGTCGGGGGAGGGTAACTTTTATTGAGGCTACCACAGAGAAGAGTTAGATGGACGTGTGTCTACACCCATGTAACTCCCACCCTGGTAGAGACAGAACATGTTCACGGCCTGGCAGACTCCCTCTACCTCTCCCCATCAATGGCTCCCAAAGAAGCCATCTTGCTGCTACTATTTAGACAGTCTTGCCTGCCTTTGAATTTGATCTGAATGAAGCCTACAGTATGGTCACACTGTCTTCCGCCAGTCAGTAGGTGAATGCCATGGTTGGAAGCCGCATGTGAAAGTGTGTGGTACCTTCTCTGGGGGTTTGATGTCTGTGGTGAAAGTCTACTCAAAGAGATGTCTTAGCAGACTGCTTGCTCCCTGTATCACTGAGGGCACCCCATCTTCAGAGCCGCCCCCAGTCTCACAGTATCCTCCGTCCTCTGTGGGCTGCATGAGTCAGATCTGGACCCAGCATCAGGCAGAGTTGTGGTCCCAGAGCTCTACCTACCTCCTCCGTGAAGCCTGCCACGCCAGCCTGGCCCACAGCCAGCATGGAGCAACCACTGCCCTGTGAGTCCTGCTCCCTGATTACACTCAGCCTCCCCCCGTGGTGTTCACTGCTTGTACCGTGACCCCCCAATCTCCTAGGGTCACTGTAGGTTCTTTGGAATATTTCAGAAACAATGCAATCCCCTTCTCTTCCTTATGACAGCTTTTAGCAGAAGGCTGACAAAGAGATCAGAGCAGGCGCTGGAGCCAGCGACCTGGGTGTCGACACCCACTGTGTCTCAGGCAATCACAGGAATATGCCATGCGTGCTGCATTGCCAAGATGAGGCTTGCTCTGGATGCCTGTGTCGCAGTTTTGAGAGGCTGTAGCCAACACTGTCATTGGGAGGTGGTACAGCGGAGATAAAAAGGAAAGCTAGAGGCACTTACCCTGAGGTCACTACCTGCTGGTTCTGGGGCCTCAGGCAAGTGGTTTGACTTCTCTGTTCCTCAGTTTCCCCATCTATGGAAAGCAGTGGCAGTGCCTGCCTCGGAGGGAAGCTGAGGACTAACCAGGTTAATGTATACTAATGTGTATAAACCACTCAGGGCAGCTGCTGGCACACAGTAATGACCATTGCAACTACTAGCTCTTCTTCTGCCCACGAGCTACCTGCTATTACTTGGTAGTTAATTCAATAATTAATTAAACACTGTTAAGTCCTAGCTGTTAGGAGGAGAAAACAGACTAACATAAGGGAAACACACGGAATGCGAGATAATAGACATTGTGCTCAGTCCACAGAGAGCACTCGATAGTTGTTAAAGGATTTGTAATTATGCTAAAGAGAAAGGTGATCAGGAGAGGGTGGGGTGGATAAGCTGCCATGGTGGAAAAGAAGGCACACACCATCAGGACTGGAATGGGCTAATCTGGACTTCTTCCTGCTTGGGCTCACTTCTAAAAGGTAAGAGGGTCTCCTGAAGGGGTCCGGTCTCAGCATCTCATTAGTGCTTGGTACCAGCCCATGTTTTATAATATGTTGATTTTAAGCCAGAAACGGGCAAACCACACACACACACACACACACACACACACACACACGCACACACACACACACTGCAACCAAATATATATAATCTCTAACACGACATATAAGCTATAATGCAACCACCATATATTTTACACACACACACACACACACACACACA